GCGCCCGCTGCCAGGCGGAGTTCCCCTCCCTGGAAGAGTTCGTGCAGCACAAGCTGCGGAAGGTCTGCCAGCGAGCCCCCGAAGCGCTGGCTGCTGCGTCGGCAGCCCTCCTCAGCCCAGAAGCACAAAAGGTGACAGCAGGCTTCTCCTCAAGCCGTGGCAGAAAATAATTAGGATGCAACGGTCTGTTGGGTTGGAGGGGAGCGAACAGAACGCGGTGTTTTCAAAGGTCGTCGAACCCCTCTGCTAAAGCGTTGTCTGTTCCAGCAGGTCGTTCCTTCTGTCGAGGAGTCGATAACTGTTGCGCACATCGTTGTTGAAGCGTCTTCAATAGCAGAAGAAATCAGCAACGCATCTGCTCTAGTGGGTGAGCTTCGGGACGTTTGCCTGCCAGCCCCTGCTGCGTTAGGGGTCCCGTGGCCTCTTCCAACCGATCTGTGTTGGGCTGGGGTGCGTGACGCCCCGCCGCGACTGAGCACTGCCTCAGCGGTGCGGGAGAGGCGTCCCTGGGCCAGCTCTGCAGTTCTCTGTGTTAGTACAAATCAGCTTCTGTTCCAGAAGCGTCCACGTTAATATTTATGCTGCGATAACGAGAGCTTTGCAAAGCCCCGTGTTCCAGGTTTGAAGCGCCCGTTCCCGCTGCGTGAAATGCTGAAACAGTAAAGTGCTCCGGTCGGTCGCGTGAAGCTGTCCTCTGTGAGGAACACGACTGTCCTCCTGTCCTTTCCGCAGGCAGCGGGCACATCAAGGAAGTCATTGTTGCCGGAGACCACGTCTTTGAAAACCCAAACGGTCACGTTGATGGGGAAGTGACTGAAGAGCACGGCAACCCTGATGATCAGGAGCAGGATGCTTCCACAGAACTGATAAAGGTGAAGCTGCTGGTTAACAAAGAAGGGCGCTACGTATGCGAGTTATGCCAGAAGACCTTCAAAACGGTAAGTGTCCCTTCAGGGGGTTCGGGTTAGCCAGGTGCTTGGGCTGGTTGTTAACTAAGATACCTCAAGACTCGGTAACAGCGTGCTGCTCTACTGCATGCTGTGCTTCCAAAAGGAGAGCTCTGCTTTCAGAAGGAGAATTGTCGTTCTTTACAGTTGAAATGTGAACTCCTTAACCATTGGGAACCTCTCTTAAAATGAACTGCTTTCCGTAGGCCATCATCCTCAAAGCTCACATGATCACGCACAGCAGCAGGAAGGACTATGAGTGTAAGCTCTGTGGGACTTCCTTTAGGACAAAAGGCTCTCTGATTCGACACCATCGGCGCCACACTGGTAAGGCAGCTCTCCAGAACAGGAGTTCCTCCTTGCCGGCGCGCGCTGCGTGCGGTTATCCGGCTTACCTTCCAGTGGGATTTATTGCCGCTTTCCATCTTGTGCTGAGCGGAGACCGCGGAGCTCCCTGATGTGTGGAGTGCTGGGGGGCCGCGCGAGGGGCTGGGACGAGCACAGGCTGCTTGCTGTGGAAAGCTGAAAGCTTTCTGCTAGAGCTCCTGCTGGCTGCGGTTAGTTTAACACTCTGGTTTGGTTCTCGTCGTTTCCAGATGAAAGACCTTACAAATGCAAGAAATGTGGGAAAAGCTTCCGGGAGTCGGGAGCTTTGACTCGGCACCTGAAATCTCTGACACCTTGCACCGAAAAAATTCGCTTCAACGTGACCAAAGAAATAGTAGTCAACAAAGATGATCTGCCTGCAGGTCAGTGACGCTGTCAGTGCCTGCCTCGCATCCGATAAAACCGAGCATGCCCCTGGCACCCGAACTATAAATACTTTGTTGGTTCTGAAAAAAAATATTGCTGTGGTATTCAGTTTAAATCTTTTATATAGCAAAAAGTAATTTATAGAGCTAAACCGCTAAGCTGAAGCGCACGTAGCCAGGCGTTGGCTGTGAAGAGTCTCTGAGGACCTGGTACAAAGATGGCTTCAGCAGGCGTCTCGTATTCTAAGACAGGTTCTGTGCAGGGCACAGCAAACTGACGGGGGGTGGCAGTGCACCAGGTGACTCATTCTGTTGCTCTCCTTGAAGGATCCTGTGGCTCAAACACCGACACCGTGTCAGCAATAGCGAGCGAACCCATCGAGACCTCGCCCGTCATTCATCTCGTGACGGATGCGAAAGGCAACGTTCTTCACGAAGTCCACGTCCAGATGCAGGAGCTTCCTGTTGTAGATGCAAAATCCCTGGACCAGGATGTGAGTGTCATTTCTCTTAAATACCCTTCACGTGTTTTAGGCCAAGAAGTATTTCGCCTCAGAAACAAAACTCTCTTAGGTGCTGGGCTTAAATCTGTGTGGTGGAAGCAAATGGTTAATGAGCTGCTTTTTCATCTGAGAACCCAGAAGGCAAACCCTGCTCTGACCTTGCCTGGCTCTGCTGCGGAGTGGAGCGTAGCAGCACGCGTACAGCACGCAGGGGGGTGCGTGGGGTTCACCGCCACCTTCGGGATGATGCGGGAGGTGAGGGGGTGGTTTTGCTGACCATTCCCTGCTGCGAGACTCTGTGGTGGGAGCAGAGGCTCATCATCCCTTGGACTCTGTGTTTTCAGAGGACAGATTCACCTCATCTTCCTCCCCTGTCCACGATCATTCCCTCGGTGCTCTTTCCACCCCGTGTCACAGTGCCAGACACCCCAGAAAGGACGCCTGCCGTAGCAGCGCTGCTGTAAAAAAAGGGCCAGCGGTGTTATTTGCCGTAGCGACTACCAGGCTGTTTATTCCTTCAGCAGTCGCATCCCGAGGAGCTGCCGTGTGAGGGCGAGGTGAACAGTGAGAACCTGCTGAGGCAGGCCATGAGGAATTCGGGGATTGTGATAGAGAGAGTCACTGTGGAGGAGATGCAAAAGCCAGAGGAGCCTGCTGGAGCTGCCGCAGAGGAACTCGAAAACGAAGCGGTGGAAGCAGAAGAGGAGCCGTGTGGGGAACAGTGTGTTGAAGTAGAGCACGCGGAGTCTGTATGTTTGTGTTCTGTAGATGGTTTCATCTTCTGTGCCTCACTGGGTTGTGGACAGCAGCGTAGCCTCACCGCCCCGCGCGTTATCCTCAGCGCATCCCTCCCTGTGCCTGGGTCTTCGTGTTGTGTTCTTCACGTGCGCTTTAGCTGTAGTGTTCATGTGTTTGTGCACGCTCACGCACGTGCTCGTTCTCTCGCACTTCCACCCCCCCCTTAACAATATAGCTCTCTTTCTTGTCAAAGCTGGAGTATTTAATTGGGAATTGGGTTAGAAAAACTTGCTGTACACACCGGTAAACAAATGTTTATGTTTTACCCTTTTCTCTCTGATAGACAGATGCAGAAGGGACAAATGGGTACAAAAGTTACATTTGTCCTCACTGTAATGAAGCCTTCAGTGAAGCTGCTTCCCTCGAAACACACATCAAACGTCATTTAGGTAAAGTTCTGCTGCTTCTGCTGTTGTCCAGAACGCACTGTGTCCTGCTATGATCTTAAGCATAGTACAGCTTCCTTTGTTTCAGATTCCTTGCCTTTGCAGGGCCGTTAGCCATGCAAAATCATTGCTGCTTAACACACAAATATGAAAGAGTTGACGTCGGTTGAGGACTAGAACAGAGAGTAAAAGAAAAATTAAAAAAAAAAGTTGCCATGTTTCAGGGCCTGCACTGCATCCCTGAAAGCAGAATTTTGTGGCGAGGCCAGTAAAAAGGTTTGCGAGGCAGCACAGGTTGATAGGCTGGAACTGCTGCTTGAAAGGCACCAAAGGCCGTAAGAGCAACGTCTGAGCAGAATTCGCTTATGAGCGAGACAAAGCCCATACGCGCAGCTGAAAATACAATTTCCCTCCTTCTCCGGGTTAGACTTTTTGTAAGAATTTTGTTACAGCACATACTAGAAGCTGCTGCTGGTTGTCCTGTATCAGCTGTGTGTTCTCTCTCCAGATTACAAGCCTTTCAAGTGTGAGGAGTGTGGCAAAGAGTTCACAAAGGGCTACCTGCTAAAAAAGCATCGAGAGGTGCACGTGAACGAACGGCGTTTCCGCTGTGGGGAGTGTGGCAAGCTCTACAAGACCATCGCGCACGTGAAGGGGCATCGACGAGTGCATTCTGATGAGCGGCCCTATTCCTGTCCGAAGTGTGGCAAGCGGTACAAGACCAAGGTGTGCCTCCCTCACAGCAGGCTTGCCTTCAGATTCTCCTTTCCAGAGCCAGGGTCTGGGAGAAGCTAGTAGGCTTTTCTCCTGAAAGAACAAACACCAGCTCACCTCCCTCTGAGATGATCTGAAGCTCTGGAAAGAGCTTTTGTTTTTGTGGGGAAAAGAGGGGCAGTGTTAGTAAAACCTTCACAAGGGTGTGTAGCGATAGGACAAGGGGGAATGGCTCTAAACTAAAAGAGGGCAGATTGAGATGAGATACTCAGAAGAAATTCTTCCCCGTGAGCGTGGTGAGGCCCTGGCCCAGGCTGCCCAGAGAAGCTGTGGCTGCCCCCTCCCTGGCAGAGTTCAAGGCCAGGTTGGCTGTGTCTGCCCCCTCACTGGCAGAGGTCAAGGCCAGGTTGGATGGAGCTCTGAGCACCCTGGGCTGGGGGAAGATGTCCCTGCTGATGGCAGGGGGCTTGGAACCAGATGATCTTTAAGGTCCCTTCCAACACAAACCATTCTATGATTCTGTGATAAGAAACTGCTCCTTTGTGTGTGAAAAAATGACGTAACAATAACAAGCCCAAGTATTTATTGTGTCTTAAATGAGAGTAAGTCCTCAAAGTTGTTGATTTTTACCCCAGAAGGTAAATACTGCTTGCCTGAGTTTGTCATTCCCTTTAGCTGCCCTTCCCTTGCTTCTCCCTTTGTGCAGAATGCCCAGCAAGTTCATTTCCGTACGCACTTGGAGGATAAGCCCTACGTCTGCCAGTACTGCAGCCGGGGCTTTCGGGAAAAGGGCTCGCTGGTCCGCCACATCCGCCACCACACGGGGGAAAAGCCCTTCAAGTGTTACAAGTGCGGGCGAGGGTTTGCAGAGCACGGCACGCTCAACAGGCACCTGAGAACCAAAGGTGAGACGGCAAAGCGCGTCTGCGGTGGGGGGTGCCTTGTTCTGGGGTTTGGTCTGGACAAGCTGCTTTTTGGCTGAATGGCTGTGATTTTTCAGAGTGGATCTGACGACCTTCGTCCAAGGCCAATCCTTTATCTGCATCTCAGTTGCATCAGAAAGAGATGCGTTATATTTTTTTCATCTACATTGATCAATATTTCTATTGTGATCTTTCTGACCAAAAATGATGCTGAACAAACAGCCATAAACCAGTTCTAACATAAATCGAGATCAGCTAAAGAGAAAGATAACCAAAGTAGAATTTGCATCAGGAATCTTAACTGCAGGAGTGCTGTGGGCTCCCTGCGCCAAGCTCTGGCTTCAGTGGTCTCTGCAGCGTCGCCTGACGCGGGGAAGACAGATCTGACAGCGTACGAGAGTCAGCCCTGAGCTGCAAAGTGGTTCTGTTCCAAGGCTACCCAGAGAGGGAGAAAACTGACAGTTTCACAAAGTAATGCCAGAGAGCGCTTGATTTCTGTGTTGGGGAAGAGGTGAGAAGACTGTAAAACTTCTGATGTGGCACATGTTGCTACGGTTAAACTGGCCAAATCGGTTTTCTGGCATGAAGTCTGGGGGTTTTCATAAAATCCTGTGAAAACGTGAAGCATGGGTGTTCTGCGAGGAGCATGTCCTAAGCAGAGTTAAGCTCTCACAGGTAATCTTGTCTGATCGGATTAGTTGCACTGGACCTGCTGCTCCTTTAGCTCCTAAGCAGAGATTTTCAAACTTCTTCAGGGAGTGGTGATGATGCATTGAGATTGTAAAGGACAATGCAAGTTTACTGGAGGAAAAAAGAGTTTCCTTGGTAGATCCTGAAATGTAATGCATAAGCAGAAAAGATGGGCGACTTAAAATATACCAGAAGTCTCACTGTATGTTCTTCACGGACGGCTTTTGAAATCCTGCATGGTTTTACACATCTGAATTTCCTTGTGTATTTTTTTGAAATGACACTGGACGGTTGCTCTGCTCCAGGCGCAGTCCTGGTGCCGGGCGTCACGCAGGCCTCTTCCCGGCCATCACTTGGCCTGTCTCGGTGGCATGACTGTTGGCTGACTGCTGGTTGCTTGTCAGAGGCATCCCGTTAGAGGGGTCTCGTTTGTGCCACGTAGTATTCTCCAGGTATTCCTGTATTTGAGATGGTTATGAAAAAATAATGTTTTCCTGGCATTTCTGGAATACCATTCAGGTGGCTGCCTCCTTGCTTTGAAAGAGGTGGAAGAAGTGGTGGTGTCTGAGGAAAGCCAGTCGGCGGACAACTTAGCTGCCACAGTCATTTCTGAAGATCCTCACACTGTTTTGGTAGAGTTTTCTTCAGTGGTGGCGGACACTCAGGAGTACATCATCGAGGTAAGAGCGGGGCCAACAGCCTTCTCATTCTGAACTTAGCACGGTACTTTGTCAGGCAAAACCGCCGCTGTGCGTGTGCCTCAGCTAGGCTTTTGGGAGAAGGTAGAACGGGATCTAGCCAGCGCTGCCCCTGCCAGCACGACCCTGGGAATACGCAGGATTAATCCGCCCGGGGAGCCTGCTTCCCCGCCCTTCTGAAGTCCTGCATGTGATGTAGGCAGGAAAACGAGACTGCAGGGAAGGCTGACGGTAGTTTGTCAGCAGGCTGAGAACTTGTGACCACACCAGATTTTACATCCTCACAAACTTGCTCTAGCTTTCCCGCAACTTTTACCTCCTTTTTTCTCCCATTTCTATTTTGCTTATTTTGTCCAAAATAATATCTGTTGTTTTTATCTGGCTGTGGCTGCCAAAAGCAATGAAATGCACATTTCTCTTTCTCCCCCTTTGTGACAGAGCCAGCACTCATCTGTGCAGAATAACACAGTCTGTTTATTATTATATTTATTATTATTATGGAAGTCCCTTCAGTGCTGCCATAGTTTTTCTCCCACAGAAGAACCTGCCAGTTGGCTGAGTCACGCTGAGAAAGGGTGCTCCCGTTCAGTTGCTCGTGAGCACTTTGCGTTACTTTTAAGTAGCTCTGGATAATGGGATTTGGAGAGAATTCCAAGGAGAAGTTGTCTTCAGAGTAGCTACTGCATCATCAGGGGAACAGAAAGACTTTTCTAAAGGATCTTAGTGTCTTATATCTTGGTAATAAAAGATTTTTTTATAGTAATCTAAAAAGACAATCATCATATTTTGTCTTTCAAGACTGCTACTGAAGACATGGAGACCAGCGAAGCTACTGAAATAATAGAGGGAACAAGACATGAGGTAAAGCAGCCACATAAACTCTTATTTTGGGGACTTGCTGTAGATGAAATGCATCACTTCTACCATCTGAAAGTCATGCTGAATAAACCCAACTTCACAGAATTAATTTACCTACCTCTGTAGTTTTGCAGACTTGTCTGCACAAAAACCCCACACTGGTCATACTGGGTTTGACTGGGCTGTTAACCCCGGGTCCTCTCAGCGATGGTGGGTAGTGTGACTGGCGTGGCTTCATACACGAGAGCACAGCTGCCAGCTGAGAACTGTACAATAACACTTCAGCCTTGGGGAAACGATCCTCGCAAGGCGCTCCCCGATGCGTGAAACAACGGGTGCTGCAGCTCAGCAGCTGGCTGGGCTCTGCACCTGCCTTCTGTCAGTGTTGGTGTACGGGCACACGTGGGTCGGGTTTTCCCAAGTGCAGTGGTTTGACTTCCTGCAGGAAGCGCCCTGCTGACGAAGCATCTTCAGCAACACGTTCTAGGAGTCTGCTGTTCTCGTTGAGAGCTTCAGTGAGCAGCAGGAGGAAACTGGAATTAAATACTGCTTGTTGTACTGCCCTGCGGGTCATCAAGAGCTGTTTACGGCAATGATAATTGTCTACTTGTAACAGAGTCCCACACACCGAGAAATAACGTGGCCTCTCTTCTCTTCATGTAGGTCGACAGCCACATTATGAAGGTCGTGCAACAAATAGTCAATCAAGCAAACTCTGGTCACCAGATCATTGTGCAGAACGTCACCGTGGCAGAAAACTCTGAAGTGACCACGGATGCTGCAGACACCATCACCATCGCCACCCCCGAAAGCCTCACGGAGCAGGTCGCCATGACGCTGGCCTCCGCCATCGGCGAAGGAGCCGTGCTGACTACGGAGGGTAGCATCGAGACGGAAGAAGCAACGGTGACGATGGTGGCGTCCGAGGACATTGAAATAATGGAACACGCAGGAGAGTTTGTGATCTCCTCCCAGGAGGGGGAGGTGGAAGTCCAGACTGTGATTGTGTAACGAACAGCGTGCAGCTAGCGACAGGCTGTTTTTCTCCAGTTTGGGGAATTTGATCAGTCCTAAGTTTGCCATTGTAATTGTTCAGAGAGCAAGGGAGAGAATGCTTCTGTAGGTAAGCGGCTTAATACAGCCCCGAGATGTTTTCTGTTTGAAATGGAAATAACAGCAGTAAAACACCTCTGCATGGTTATACTGTGCAAGTGACTGACACGCCCTATTTGACAGTCTCAGTATTTTGTACAGCTGCCTCAGAGGAGGATCCTTTGTGAAGCATTCGCCTCTGACCACAGGACAGGAGTGTTCTGGTGTTTAGATTTAAAAGGATTCAGAAAGTGAAGCAAGTATGTGGGGTCTCAGGAGAGACTACTTAATCATATGCATTTAAAACAAACCAAGAAAACCAAACGAAGGAGTGCTGGTGTGCATTCACCACCGCTCAAACTTTCATGCCTTCAGCCTCACTACTTTAGTCCTCCTAAGGCATGGTACTGCAGTATTTTTCTTTTCTTTTATACCCTGGACAAGTAGCCTTATGTACTGGTCTACGAAAGAATGCATCCTTGTACCCTTGCAGTGCTGACAGGCTACTCTGAGAGCTAGTCTGTTGGTGTGTAAAGCCATATTGTATATGATTTTTTTTTTTAAAACCATATATGGATTTTTAATGGCATATTGTACAGATTCAGCATGTAAATAAATACATTTTTAAAAATAAAAGTTATTTAAAGTTCTTACTGTATTTTTCCAATTTCTGCTCTATTATCGCTCAAAGAGAAGAATTTCAGGAAAGAGAACAGGGCCACTTAACATTGTGCTTCAGAAACCCTCAGCGCTGGGCGAGTCAAAGACCCTGCTTTTCCCCAAACACACAAGCCTCTAGAAGCAGCCAGTACTTGTGTGCTTTGGAGATCATTCGCCCGCTCCCCAGGCAGAGGGATTTCAGAAGGTCACTTGCTGTAAGCTTGCTTTTGTCTCCCACTGTTACAGCCGAGGGTTTTCTGGAGGGACAGCGATGAGGTGCCCATCGGCGTTCACCTGGACAATCCCTGCACAGAAGCGGGAGGCCACGTCGCTGCCGTGCGCGTAAAGGGGCTGCTCAGTGACTGCAGAAACAGCCACAGCAGCTGGAACCTCCCCTGCTGCAAAGTGCCCCAAACACCAACATCCGAGACGCGGCTGAGCCCCTCGCTGTGAACAGATCCATCAAACAACAGGATAACGAGGAGAAATGCCAGAAGGATTAAGTTTGTAGTCTGTCAGGACCTGTATTTCGAGAGCTCAATATCAGATTTCTGATGCCCTTTTCAGGATGCTGAAATTTTGTCTAAAGTCTACCCTTTTCCTGACTCTAAGGCTGAAGTGGCATCTTATTTTGAATGAGCTGAAAAGACGTACCAAGAAAGAGACTTAGCAGGTAAGGAGAAGTAGCACTTGCAGTAGTTTCCTGTCAGAAATTAAGGTGCTCCATACCAGTGCAAATCTGCAGTAGAACATGGTTTCTGCAGGCAAAGATTCTGCCAGTAATCATGGGTTTTTTTCAGCTAAATACATGCAACCTATTCTATATCTTGTTAAGAGTAATGGGTTAATCATTTGCCAAACAAAGGTACTCACAAAAAGATGAAGCTTCCTTGAAGTTCACAGCAGCTCTGTGTTAGCTCCTCCCTCGTCAGCACGCACACAGAGAAGATTCACTTCAGGTAAGCTGGACCAAACTCGCCTCTCCATACCAGCCAACTCACTGCTGGTCCCTCCAACAAGGAAACAAGACTGAGCTTAACCTCACAAATCTCACCAAGGAAAGTACCTTAAATAGGGCTCTGCTGAGGCATCGTTAATCAGAATACTGCTGAAAATAGTAACAGCTGAATACAGTCAGCTGGGAATTACTATTTTCCTGCAGGACTAAAAAAAAAAGGCAACTAGTTGACAAATAGATGAATTCGGGTGTTTACCACTTCCACATGTGTGACACTGCTGTGTTCCTGCAAAGTCTCCTGCAAGAAGACCTACTTAAGAGATACCAAAGTAACTGAGGAACTCAGTTTGGCTTTTATGCAGTGGTATAACGCAGCACGCAGACAGTAATCACAGAAAAAAGAAGTTCCTTGTGCGCGTGTTCCTGAGCTGACCCTCACTCTAGTACTGCTTGCTTCAATACTGCACCCGTGTCTGACCAGCCCTCGTCACAACCGGCACGAGCAGCGTTACAGATAAACTCTGCAGAACTCCAGATTTTTGAAGACTGGTTGGCTTTAAGAAAACATATTTTCCAGTTAGTTAATTGAAATACAGTAACCTTTTTACAAAAGTTGTTTGGGGCACGAAAGCACGCTGCTGAAATGAGGTCTTACAAAAAGTGTAAAAGTGCGCATATGAGGAACAGCATCTTCATGTTTTCTTCTTTCTTTCCAACTCTGTAGGAGGTTTAAAGATTTCCTTTAAATTCATCCAGGCTCCTTTAGAATAAATGTTTTTGTAGACAACTCGTCCGTCAGGAGGCTGCACTGTTAGATGGTGGGAACACCCGTATCTTCTGGATTTATACCATTCATTGGCAGTCTGGTTGGTTAAGGCCAAGTACAGACTGAAGCAGCAGTACGCACCCAGGACGAGCACGAGAAGAATGACAAAGCCAAGCATGAAGACAATCCTAGGAAAAGTCAAGAAAAGGTGCTGCAAAGAAAGAAAAGAATAAGTTAGGAAGCTGGAGCATTAAATGACAGGGAGGCACGTGACCACTGCAGCACGCCGGCTGCAGCGCACATCCACACGCGCACGGGACCCTGCAGCCCCAGAAACAAGGTCACAGCCCTGGCGCCCATCCAGCTCGGTGACGGCCCACGCCTGATTGCATCTCTGAGTAAAGCAGAGAGATTTCCAGAAATGTATCTCCTCTCAGGCCTTGCTAACGTGCAGGAGTACTTTCTACACCCGTCTACCTCTGAATGTTTGCATTTCTTATTGGAGTTTTGCTTGGTTGGTTTTTTGTTGTTTTTTAATTAAAAAAGTAATGAACACAGATCATCTGAAAATAAACTGCCAAATGAAGAGGCTACAATCTGGCATAGCTTCAGGTTTTGCTGACATGATACAGTTTAAACAGCTCTTTTCTGCATTAAATTCCAATACTGGTGAGTGGTAATGGTACTGCTCAAACATGAGCAAACATTCCCTGCCCAAGATCCCTTTATAAGAGTCCAAGGCTGAAACATCTGTTGTCTACGATGGGGAAAAGATACAGCATTTACTACTTAGTACCCCACTGCCGCACTGCAGGAAGGGATGAGGGGATTGAAACGCAAATGACTCCAAGTGCTAGAGAGACTCAAAGTCGCCCTTTGCTTGTATGTGAGAGAAAATATGCAAATATCTAAATTCCAGAGTAGCAGGGTCCTGCTTTAACACCTCCATGAAGGTATCTCAAGGACTGTCAACTGTTTCCTAAACGTTGCTGCAGTAGGTGGCCACTGGAATGTAAAGCTGTTCCTTATGAACCAGGTCTGCTGAGTGAAAGCAGCCTGGAAACAGAAATACAGAGAATGGGAGAGCAGAATGAAGTGCTGTGAGCAAAATCCCATATTTTTACAGTGCTCTGCAATGGTGGTTTTTTAAACTTAATTAGCCATGTAAAGTTGGTAGAAAACTGGCAGTCTGTCCACATCCTGCCTCTGAGAACAGGTGGACTTACCAAGATTCCTGAAAGCAAAGACCGAGAGAAACCTTTTTACAAGCCAATAACCCAGACAGCATAAACTGACCTGAACGAGGAAGAGAATCTCAACAGTGCGCTCCTGTCCTTGGTCATCAATGTATCTCCCATGCATCATGTCTGACAGCAGCACCAGTCGGACGAGAAACGCTGCTGTGATGGCTGCAATGGCCGCAGCCATGGCCGTCAGGGTGAGGAGGTAAAGGACGAAATACTTTGCGTTGAAGGCACCGATGCAGTTGTTGACCCACACACAGTGGTGATCAAAACGATGTACACACACACTGCAGAAACCTGATCAGGAGCAAGTGACAAGACAGTGCAGTTACTTGGTTTTTAAGTAATCAATTTGATTTTTGCACAGTTTGGGATAGTTTTTCATCTCAAAAAATCTGAGATTTATGGTCATGATTTAGCTGATAGCTTTTTAAGCAAATACGTAAATTTCAATTGCATATTATAAAACCCCCAATACTAAAACCAAAGACGTCTGTCTCATCTCCTCTTTTATTCACCAAGACTGCAGCTCAGCGAGTCTGGTTTCTCTGACAGTACTGCCTAGCAAAGCGTATGAAAGGTAGAGACTGTAGCTCCCAGCTCTATTTTAGATGACAGGAGCAAACTCTGCAAGAGAAACACAACATCCTGCACTCAGGTCTTGACAGGTGATAATTTTTCATTTCACTTCTAGAGGGTCAAAAGCTTCCCTGTTCCTGACCCCAAGCGATACCCTCGGAACTGTTGACTGTGGTGAGCAGCAACAGCAGCAAAACCAGCTCCACGGATGGGCAAAGGGCAGCTGTGATCTGGGAGCCCAGTAAAACCAACACAATCCCCTGTGCAGCCAGCTGGGTAACTGAACGGAGGCAGCGTGAACTGCAGTTACTGATGGAGAATTAATTTAGGAAGGTATTACTGTTACGCTTCTCCAGGCAGCTCAGAATCTTACTGCAGTGTTTTGATCGGGCTGGCTTCTCCATGTTGCACGTAGGACACGGAACGCCTTTCTGAAATAATACACCATCATACGCATAGATCTTCACCAGTGATGCGTGACTTGATTTTGTTATTGTACCTGTGAGAGAAACAAGAAAAACAGCAGAAGTAATGGGGGGTGTAACATTTTCAGGCTCCACTTTCGAAGAGCCACAGCTGACAGTCAGTGTGGGCTTACCAGGGTCGGCCCGGGAGCAGAGGACGAAGCAGGCCACGTTCCCAGCCAGCAGCAGGTAGGGCAGCAGCAGCAGGACGAGGTGGAACTGCAGCTCCCAGCAGTAAGCAAACACTTCCCAGGTGTATTCCCCGTACACTGCAGCCTGCAAGGCGATGTGCAGGGCAACAAACAAACAGCTTCTGTAACAGAAAGGGGACAGGCTATTTAATACCCAGCATCCTGATTAACAGGTCAAGTACGCTCAGAGGTGATCAGCAAAGACTTTCCAAAGGCAAGGAGACACCTCTTTTAGGTTTTCAGGCCAGCATGGATTGCATATTAATAGTGTTTTCTCCATCCAGCGGCTTCTCCTCCTCTTCTTCCCACACACACTCCTTTAAATATGCCAGCTAAATTCACTTCCATTATTGTCACGTCCTTTGGATTTTCTTTCCGACAGTAAAGTCAAGTGCAAAGCACCCTTGATGCCGACAAAATACGCCACAGCAACAGGCCACAAAACATTCTGCCAGACGACACTTGCTGTGTGCTGCTCTGAAAGCAAAGGAAACCCCAGAAAAAGGTAATCTTAACAAATCTGTACCAATATAAGCAGCTGTTAACGAAAGAAGCGTGGCAGGAGGTCAGCAACGGCGAACGCCAGTTCCAACCCGCCAGCAGAGCTCAGCTTCCGCGAGGCAAGCTGCACAGCCGCTTGGCACGAGGCTGGTTTGGGATGCACCACGCTGAGGAACTGCTTCCAGCAGCCCGGCAAACAGACGCTCAGCTAAGCCACGCATCAGAGGGCAACACTCACTCATGACAGTTCTCTGCGTTACACACCAGTTTGCTGGGCTTTCATTACGAGTTTTAAATAACTGGTGATGTGTATTTTGCGACGGCGGGAAGTCCGTGGCAGACAAGCTCTCCTCTCCTGCGCCATTTCTGCGTGCAGTCCAGCAGAATCCCAGGGCTGCAAGCGGAGACCCCCAAGCGCTGCACCTCACCAGCCTCCCACACAAACTGCAAAACCTCTCGCGTGAATGAGCCGGCGCAGTCGAGGGGATGTGCACACGGCATCACCCAGCAATGACAACAGGGCTCGTCAGCTCATTGCTCCACTGCCACATTTGACAGCACAACCACTCTCTGCCGGGCTGTGCCCACGTCTCAACAGCAGAGCATCTGCACAGCAGGCAGCAAAGCAACGGCAGCACACATCCACCCACCAGCTGTAGCTGTTACGCCCCTGAAGCGTTTGTCACGCTGGAGCTGCTGCCCTCAGAGGAAAGGTATTTAAATCGTTCCTGAAGCAGAGCCTAAAGCACCAAAGTTCACAGGAAACTACAAAATTCAGCTCAATCCAGCAGGCTGCACCCTGGCAGCCGTGCAGCTTCCCCTTGAGCCACCTGGACACCCACGCTGCTGGACTGGGATTGATGGGATTTGAGGGGGAGGCGGGGGATGCCCAGCTCTGTCTGACTCTTAACTCTGTCTCATTCCGCAGCTGCCAGAGCCTGTTGCAATTCTCGCGTGGGTGCAGTCTCCCACCAGCCTGACCAACATCTGTTACACTGGAAGCTGCTGAGCCACAGGAGCTTGATTTGTCAATATGTTCAAATATCGCAGGGAACGTCTTCATCTTCCCAGCAATACGCAAGAACAGAAGGACAGCAGCGTGGCAAACCTCAGAGGGAATCTGTAATCCCCGAAAAGCACCCCTAATGGAGAGAGAATATCTAAAGACAGTACTCAAAGCTCTAATGGTGGTAGGAGGTCACCTACAGTGGCCAGAAATATCAGTTAAAAATAAGGGCAAAAGCACAAAAAAAAGGCGCAATACCTCGTATGGAAGAGCCTGTGAAGCGCCCTGTGTGTCGCTCCCTGGAGCTGCGTGGGGATTACAAAGGACAACACCTGAAGCAAACAAAAACACAGCGTTACCCGAACTGCACGTCACTTCTGCCTTGAGTAACGTTCAAACAACAATGTTCAGTCACCTAATCCCTCAGTTCTACATCCCTGTAGCCGTGTCGCTGGGGAGGAAGCTCATTTCCAGGGGCATCTGAGCTCCAAGACAACAGGCAGGCATGTTGCTGGGGTTTTCAAAATGGGAGCGAGGTTCCATATTCTCGGAAGCCCAGAAGGCAGCAACAAACGTATCTGGGTTAATGTGTGAAAGTTGTAAGGAGCTTACACCAGGTCATGGACTGGGTAACTGGTTAAGCAGGGGATAGAACTGAGCAATTTCTGAACTACAGTATGCTTCCTCAGGACATCTGACAGATGCTAGCAGAGATAAGCAAAGGGATAAAGCCTGCTGTCCTCCAGAAAAAGGAAAAAAAAAACCCCAACCCAACCGAAAAAGCAAACAAAACCCACCAAAACCAAAAAATTCAGTTTATTCAACTACGGCTATGATCCCGCCTGACAACTCCATGTCTGTCTAACTGCCATTTCAGAAACAGCTAGAAACAACAAAGAGCACTGCCTGTCTGCTCACACCGACACCCCCAGCAACAGCCTGCGACCGCGGACTCGCCTGGCTCTGCTGCGCAGGAGACGACGGATTGCTATAGCAACACGCTGCTCCGTCCGGGGCGGAGGAATTGGAGCAGCTGAGCCTATTTCTAGCTGACACGGAAAGAAAATATGCAGCGAGAGCTTCGTGTCTCAGATGTGAAAGACCAGAAGGCAAAAAGCATATGTAGAGTTGAGAAGATGTTAAATATTTCTCTTTTAACCGGTACGCCTCATCTCTGCAGTTGAAGCGACAGCCTCGGAAAAGGGGCTGCGCACTGCAATGGGAAACACATAGCTGGACAGAAAAGCAACCTGCGTGCCACTGCACAATTCAAACCTAAATTATCTGTATGTGTGCTAGTACCGCCTAGCGTTACGCTCCCTGTCCATTATTCCCCCACAGACAGTACAGCACTGCCCTGTACTTCAGCCATTCCTTACGCCGAAGCCAACGGCTCTTACAAATACTGTTTGTGCTCGCAGGGACAACAGAAGCAGGAGAGAACGAGAAGCCCTGCTCATCGAACACAGCCACCCCGCACAACCGGCCCGCGGGCAGCAAGCAGCCCGGCCTGGGCTGGGGGCTGCTTTCTCACAGAGCTCGAGCAGCTCTGCGCGCGTTCAGCAGCTCACGCTGCCCACCAGGAACACTTCAACGGACCCTACAGCAGCGCAGTCAGCGTCAGCCAACTTCCAGGCTTATATGCTTCATTAATTACACTCAGAAATTAATTTAAAATGTCTAGAGAAACTATTTAGGATTACCTGTATCTATTTCATGTGTACCAGTATTGATTACATTTTTCCAGAGAGTGACTTTACATCATGGCAGTATTTTCATAGACGATTGTTACACGTTTCATAGAAGCAGCTATTAAGAAATGTGGGATAATAATAAATTTCTCTGCAGTAATCTGCATGTCTACAAAGCAAAATGAAATACAATACTAGTAATAAAAAATCAAAGTCTGTTTAGACTTCTGTAAACAGCATTAAATATTTGATGGAGCCCTGGCCCAGGCTGCCCAGGGAGGCCGTGGAGTCTCCTTCTCTGGAGATATTCCAGCCCCGCCTGGCTGCGGTGCTGTGCCCCCTGCTCTGGGTGACCCTGCTTGGGCAGGGGGTTGGGCTGGGTGACCCACAGAGGGCCCTTCCAACCCCCAACATTCCGTGATTCTGTGATTTGCAATTTAAATAATTCTCTTATCCTTTCTTTCCAAGCATGCTACACCTGTTTTTTTTTCCCTTCATTCAAACACAGCCCAAAAGACAGAAAAATAAGCTAGTGCCTTTTCAACTCATTCCCTGTTTTTACAACAAAATGCCAATTCTTCATCCTCTTTTAAAGCTCTTCATTCCTCCCTCTTTCTGAGGAAACCACGGCCGGCAGCACTATCACAGACTCACATTAAAGTGCTTCCCCTAAAATACTTGCTGCCAGTCAAAATTCTGTCCCTGTTTTCATCCTCAAACCTCCTTGCATTTCCTCTTCATGAGAGCAACAAATACCATAAACCTGCAGATACCCGGGGCCTTGTTATTATTTCACGTCCCAACTGAGCGACGCGCTTCAGCATCGCGAGGAGTTCCGTCCTCACCGCGCCGCCGTGCTGCGGCCGGCCTGAGGCCAGCTGTTCATCCCTCCCTGCTGGGCAGGATTCCGACAGCCGCAGGGAAGCCCCTTCCCATTCCCAGCCCCCGGCCTAACGGAA